TTCGGTAGAATTTATAGAATATTGTAAAAATTATGGTCTAATACCAATATATATATATATATATATATATAGAGGATATAAATTTTGTTCAGTTGGTTGTTTGCAATTTAATTTTGTTTTATTTTTCACTATTTTTTGGTTTAAATTTTGAATTCGCGGTAATAAAGTTAAAGTTGTAATTAATAAAGGATAGTTTATAGAAGTTGCACTGTTTTGAAAGTTGAAGTGTTTTGCTGTTTTTTATTTTTTGTTTTTTTTTCTTGTGTGTTTATTCTTGCGGACTGCTAACATTCTAAAGACATTTGAAATATAATTTTATAAGTTGATTTGCAGACATTCTTTTTGAAATAATAATGTCGATCAAAGGATGTCAATGTGCTAGAAATATGGAAGATAAAGACGCAATTCAGTGCTTTCAATGTCAACTTGCTTTTCACCAAGACTGTGTCGGAATAAGTAAATCAGCTTTCAAGGTTATCAGTTCCGTGTCTAATATTAAGTGGTATTGTGATGAATGCATGAAACTACTTCCTGATGTAAAGTCATTAAATAAAGCTGTGCGTGATAGCAATCATGCGCTCAACACTAAAATTGACAAAATTGATGAATCGAACAATTTGTTGAGGAGCGAACTTGAAGCTATCAAAAGTTTAATTCAAATTTGACTACCGAACCCTAACCTTAAAAACGATTTGAGCAAAAATTTTGCTGATGCTGTCCGATGCGAAGTGAAGAAAAATATTGAACTAGTTAATGATGAGGTAAAAAGTGTTCAAAAAACTTTAACCAATGTAAATGGCATGAAAGAAAGAGAGAATAACATAATGATGTTCAATTTGCAAGAAACTGATGATGATAAAGATAGAGCTAAAGGAATTATTAAAAAGTTATCCAGTGAAGTCAAGGATCAGGATATTAAAAGAATTGTTAGACTGGGTCCAAAAGCTGAAACTAAAATTAGACCGGTGCTGATTGAAATGAGGAGTTGTGCAATTAAAGATTTAGTCTTAAAAAATTTCTTTAAATTAAAAACTATGCATGAAGATCTTGATAAAGTATGGATCAGTCATGATTTAACAGTTGATCAGCGTGCCGAGTTAAAAAAAACTAATTGATGAAGCCAAATCAAGAAAAATCTCGTGCCCGGGTTTTTTATTCAAGGTGAGGGGAACGGTGGGGAGGTGGCGGATCGTCAAACTCAGAGAGCATCTGGTGAAGTGATTTCTGGTGAAGGTATTGCTGATGGTGCTGGTGGTGGAAGTTTGTTCAGCTGTGGTGATTATGATAGTTGTGGTTGTGGTATTTGCAGTGGTGGAGATGGTTGTGGTGGTAATGTTAACGGTGGTGGTAATGATGGTGGTATTTGCGATTGTAATGATGGTTGTAATGGTAACGATAAAAGTAGTAGTAATGATCGTGAAGTTACCAAAAAAAAACACAGAACTAAAATTACAATTAGGTTTGCTGAACATTAAGTCAATTATGAATAAGATCAAAACTGTTCGCGATTTATTTTCTAATAATTTTGATATTTTGTTGTTACGGAATCCTGGCATGGGTCGTCCGATAATTTATCACTTAGACTCACTCTACCACCTGATTTTGTGTTCATAGATTTTTTGAGGCCAGCCGACCCTAACCATGGTGGAATAATTGTATTTTTTTAAAATTATTTTAAATTTTATAGAATTCCACTGCCTTTATTTAAGACGTTTGAGCCTATAGTTGTGAAATTTTATTTCAACAAAGTAACTATTGTTGTTTTTGCAATTTATCGTCCTGGGTCTTCTATTCCATCACCATTGTTTTTTGATGAGTTATCATCTGCTTTTGATCAAACATTGCTTTTAGCAAATTATGTTATTTTTATTGGAGATGTGAATATTCATGTTGAACTTTTGAACGACTCTGTTGAAATTGTTTGAAATTTTTGATTTATATCAATTGATAAATAGAATAAATGAACCAACCCACGTTCATGGTGGAACATTAGATTTAATTGTCTCTAGTTCTGACCTTCCCTCACAATTTTTTTCCGTTGAGCCACCAAATGTGTATTCAGACCACAGTTTAATTAAAATTTGTTTCCCTATTTCTGTTCCCACACCTCAGAAAAAATGGAAACTTACTCGTTCATGGAATCAAATTGACGTAAATCAATTTTCTTCACTAGTTCTCGAATCACCTATTTCAGGGCCGTTCAATTCATCTTCCGCTGATACCCTGTTGAATATGTTTAATTCTGAAATCGTGAGGATTGTGGATATGGTTGCTCCTTGTCGTTATGTCAAATCTACTCATGTACTATCTGCCCCTTGATTTGACTCATTAAAACGCAATTGTCGAAAACTGGAACGATTGTATAGGAAAATGAAAAATGATATTAATCGAAATGCATGGCGCTTAGCGTTAAAAGAAAAAATACAAAAATTTTCCCAAAAAAGTAACAAATTTTGGTCAAATCAAGTTGATTCGTTTAAAAAACAACCAAAAAAATTGTGGAATGTCCTCGACAAAATTTTATCTAAAAATCACAATAATAACCATTCAAATGATTTCTCCCCCAATGATTTTATGAAATTTTTTATCAATAAAATCAATAATATTCGTAGCACGACTTTAGAAAATACTAACAAACCAATCCGGTTTGAATATGTCTCTAGGGTCGTCTTACCTGAAGCTATTGTTAATCTTTCCGATTTTCAAATGTGCACGCCAGATGAATTGCGTAAAATAGTTTGTGACTCCCCTGGCAGTTCTTGTCCTCTTGATCTGATTCCAACATACATATTTAAAAAATTTATAGATCTTTTTTTGCCATTTTTGCCATTTTTTGTCAACCAATGTTTATCAACTAGCAGTTTTCCCAACCCTTTGAAACATGCTATTGTAACCCCACTTCTAAAAAAATCAAATTTGGACGACAACGTTTTATCAAATTACCGTCCTAACTCTAATCTTTCATTCATTTCTAAAGTCATTGAACGAGTTGTTATCAAACAATTGTTACAGCATTTAAACAAAAACAATTTGTTGCCAAAGAATCAATCCGGCTATCGTCAATATTTTTCCACAGAAACTGCACTCATTGATATTTTCTACCAGCTGTTCTCTTCAGTTGACAGTCAATGCGTTTCTTTTTTAGCATTACTTGATATGAGTACTGCATTTGATTGTGTCGATCATACTCGTCTCATGTATAAACTCTCCACAAGTTTTTTTCTCTCTGATTTAGTCTTATCGTGGTTCGCTTCCTATCTTTTAGGCCGCACCCAGCAGGTTTCTTACAACACAACCCTCTCTGACATAAACAAACTATCGTTTGGTGTCCCCCAGGGATCTGTGTTGGGACCTCTGTAGTTTCTTATGTACACTGCTGATGTTTTTGATATCATTAAAAAATATGAGTTCAGCTCCCACGCCTTTGCTGATGATATTCAGTTATTGGTTTCTTGTCCTGTTGATTCGATTGATGCTTCTCTGAATGAACTGACTGATTGTCTCATCGAAATTGGATCTTGATGAGTATGAATCAGTTAAAGTTAAATCAATCTAAAACACAAATATTACCGGTTGGTTCTTGGCAGCAACTGTCGAAGGTCAAAATTTCATCGATCAGTGTCGGCAATGACATCATTGAATTTTCCACATCTGTCCGTAGTCTTGGAGTTATTATTGACTCAAACCTAAAGATGGATTTACATATTAATAATTTAGTGAGGGTCTGCTCCAACCAACTCCGTTTATTACGCAATGTCAAAAAATCACTAAACACGTCTGTTCTTCAAAGCTTGGTTTCCTCTTTCGTCTTTTCCAGACTAGACCACTGCAATGGCCTTTTTTATGGTGTCACCAAAAGGTCTTTTTCAAAGCTTCAGTCAATACAGAATCGTGCGGCCAAGCTGGTTTTGGGTGGTTCGTGGTTCGATCATGTTACGCCTATTTTGAATAGGTTGCACTGGTTGAGGGTTGAAAAACGTGTTTCCTTCAATTTGATAGTTTTGATGTTTAAATGTGTCAATAATACAGCACCTCCCTACCTCATCGATAGATTGGAATCATACAAATCTCATTTTTCAAAATATTCCTTCCGATCAACCGAGCGCAATTTATTTTTTATCCTGACCACAAAGTTGGTGACGGGTTCCCGCAACTTTGCGGTTCTTGGCCCGATTGTTTGGAATGGTTTACCTCCATACTTACGTGACCCTAACCTATCATATTTACAATTTCGAAGTCAACTTAAAACTTATTTATTTGCACAATGACTGTCCGTCTTATTTGTCTATGATTTAGTAGCGCTTTTGAGATTCAACAATAAAAAAGCGCTGTATATAAATTTCCGTAATAATAATAATTCCGTAATAATAATATATATATGTTGGTAATAGATATAAATTCTTTCCGGCATAAGTTTAGATCATTCTTTATATATATATATATATATATATATATATATATATATATATATATATAGTTTATTTGATTGTGTAGAACATCAGATTCTCTTGGAAAAATTGGTTCATGATTATGGTATTTCCGGTACTGTTATCAAGTGGTTCAGATCATATCTGTTTGACAGAAAGCAACAAGTAGTTTTCAATAATGTGTTATCTAATGAAACGGTTTTGACATCAGGAGTGCCACAAGGTTCAGTGCTTGGACCTATTCTTTTTATCATGTATACCGTTGAAGTTTTTAAAGTATTTAGTAATTTCGGTTTTAAATATCATGCCTATGCTGATGATATTCAGATTATAGTTAGTAATAAGCCAGAATTACTGCAATCTGAAATCAACAAACTTGTAACCTGCCTAAATAACATTGAAAATTGGGTGTCAAACAATGGTCTTAGATTAAATCAGCAGAAGTCAAAATTTGTTCCAATAGGTACATGGCAGTAGCTGATGAAACTTAATATCGACTCAGTGAAAATAGGAGATGTCAAAATAGAATTTAGTGACAAAGCAACTAATCTCGGTTTCATTCTTGATTCTAGATTATCGATGCATATCATATAAAGATGATAACAAATTCATGCTCCGGACAGATTCGAGAACTCTATAAACTCCGTAAGTCATTAGATAAATCTGCTATTCATATCTTGGTGCATGCATTGGTTCATTCACGATTGGACTGTTGCAATGGTCTGTTTTACGGTTTGCCAGGTAGGCCTATTTCTGTAATTCAATCTATTCAGAATAGAGCAGCCAAATCGATTGTTGTTAGCGCTTTTGAGAACTTTTTGATTTTAATTAGCGCTTATAAATGTATAAATGTTTCATTAATAATAATAATAATATATATATATATATATATATATATATATATATATATATATATATATATGACTTTTCGTCTGAGCTCACTAATAATGTTATGTTATATTATGTTATACATATACATATACAATTTCCCATTTTTTCTTCAATTGTGCTGTTTTAATTTTGGATTTTTAACGGAGGCAGGCAAATTATTTTTAAAATTTGAAATATCATTTTTTCTATTTTTTTTTATAAAAACGTTTGTCTAATTTTTATAAAAAAAAATTATATAAAAAATAAATAATTGAAACAAATGTAGTTTATTCATCGGATGCATGTCTGTGGGATGTTTAGACTTTAAAGATTTGAAACTGTCAAATGAACCGATTTGGACTGAAAAATTTCGAAAGAAGAATTGCAGAGGTGCAATCGCAGATATGATCAATTAGGGTTGAGTTGCGAACATAGCAATGAGTTGATGTTTGCCAGCATCAACAGTATTCGATTTTAATGATGACTTCGAAGAAATATGTTGTTTCAAGATGATGGGTTTTCCTTTATGTCTGAGTGATCATCTTCATCATCACCATCATCATAATCATCCTCATAACCGGAATTGACCGAAATTGAATTGACCGTCATCAACACCATCTTCATTCTATTGCTATATTTTGATGAATAAAAGCCGCGCTTAACGTCATCACTATTATTATTAGCATCATCACCATCATCATCATCGTCACCGCCATCGTCATCATCAGTATCTTCATCACAATCACCAATACCACCATCTTCAGCGTGATTGTCATTATCAACAACATCCCCATCGTCATTGTTGTCATCACCATCATCTCGACAGTTACCAACCTCACAGTTTTCATTATCATCAGCACCATCGCTAACTTGCCGGCCAACACGGGCCAGCTGAATAAAAATAATTTAATGTTGGTATTTATTGAGGTGAGCACATGAATGCTGATCATATCAACATCGTCGAGTCCATTCCACCTTTCCATGCTGGGATGCATGCACGTCAACATCTCCATCATCAACGGCTTTTATTATTACAACATTCATCCATGCCATCTTCATTATCTTTATATTATCATATTCATCATCAAAATTATGGCTTTTGGTATTGTCGTCAACACTGTATATGAAAATATCATCGTCATCATCATCAATCACAAATGTCATCAGCATCACAACCACAACCACCATCAACATTACCATCATCATCGTCACCATCATTATCATCATCATTACTACCATCGACACAATCACCATCATCTTCATCATCATCATCATCATCTACACGATCAAAAAATTATCCTTATTATCTTCCTCAATATAGTGATGACTGTCCTGGCGCATTGTTCTGGTCATCAGATTGTCTCACGCGATCCTCAGACTTGCCGTACGTTGGTGCATTTAGATAAATAAATGAAGATAATTAATGCAAATTGAATGAAAAACAACTCGATAGCTTTTATATCTTCAGATGCAAGATTTAAGTACAACGCATTCAAACTTTTGTTCATTCGTTCTTTTCAAATATTCAGTTTATTGAAAGTTTAATTCTCAGTTTTGTTGGTTGCACCACTCTCGTCATGCTGAAAGCTTCTTTTTGAAAATTTAAAAATTTTGGTTGCCAATACCTTTGATAGACCCAACAAAATAAGTATGAGATGCTTTGACAAGCTTCCAGATAGGTAAATCTAGCAAACGTTGGGAGAAGTCCGTAGAGAGTCTAGTAATATCTCGGAAAATTTGATTTCAACTTGACCAATGTAATCTATGAGTTTAATAATAACTTTGGCTAATTGCTGGTTTCTTTTAAATGTTAAAAGCCAGCGATTTTAGGAATGGATGTCCCAGCAGCCACTTCGAGTGTAGTCAGAAGCACGTCCGACGCAGCAGCAACGTGTGGTGGATGTTAAATAATGTGGATGTTGTCTGCTGCTGCCGTTCTACATCTGTAGTTTGGCGACGAGACAAAATTTTCTCTATTTTCCTCTATCTTCTGTTGGTCTGTTTGCTATGTTAATCTTCGTA